GTAGTTACAGCAGATCGAGAAAATGAACCTGGAAGAGTGGCCGGAACACAACATGTTAGAAATTATGAAAACCGTATCGACATGAAAATCAGATGGTGAAATGAACAGTGGATCGTCACCTGTGGTAACATAGCATGAAGTGCATGAACCAGCCATGTTCATGAAACCATAGCCATCATTTCTTTGTTGCCATCAACTTGGTAATTCTTTAATGAAGCAAATGTCCTTCCCACAGCAATTCCTTCCTGAACAAATAAAAGATTAAATTTTAGAAAGAGTGAAATTTATACATATAGGCAAGTTCTTGAAATACATATGGAAAGTAAATCTTGACTAAGCCATGAAAGAGTGAAATTTATACATGAAATAAGGCAAGTTCTTGAAAATACTCATATGGAAAGTAAATCTTGACTAAGCCATCAAGATTTCAGTGCTAGTTTTGGCAACCTACAGTGAGAGAAAGGATCCCAGTAACAAGGCCAGTTTTGACAGCTACAGCCAGGAAAGCGCCTAAAGTATAACATGTTTGAGGAAGGTGGATTCAAACCCTTGGCAAGTGGCCGATCTGGAGAAGAATTTTTTGCATTAGTGGTTGCACCAGAGACTTGTTTCAGGATCCTTTGTAATCTCTGTAAAGGAAGTGTAAACAAGTTTTCAGGACTTACAATTGAGATTCCATGAGCCTTTGATTTGATGCCAAGACTAAAAGAGTTGAAAGAATAACTGATGTTAATGGGGCAGCTGCCGATAGCCAGGAAAAGCTTTGGTTTCGTCATGCTCTGTGCCGAATCGTTAAAGATGAGACATCAATAAACGTTAGGAGAATAATATGAGAATCTGGGTAATTAACTTTGCAGGTAAAAAGACACTTACAATATGCCTTGTTGTCAATAGAAAAACCAGGAAGCTGAACCCAATACAACAGTTTGCCAGGACCACTGCACATACAACTTTTACTCATTTAGCTTTGTATTTCAGCCGTTGAATAACACTTCGACAGTTGAGTTTCAGAATTCATTTAAAAATGAAACATGGCGTAGAAAAATCAACAACAGTACTTCCAAAATGATACCAAAAGGTAGCATATTGCTTGCTTTCAGTAAAGCCACTAACCTCATCTCTGTGGCTGAAAACAGAGGACATTACAGGAATAAATTGCATTTGGTAGTTAAAATGAACAATCCAAGCAATCCTTTGAGGTGTTGCAATGATACAATGACTGCCGCTCCAGCCATGAAGCCGATAAGTGTTGCCTTCGAAAGAAAATCGATTATAAAGCCTAGCTGCAAACCATTAACTGAAATCAACTTTTAAGGCTTTTCGGTCTTTCTTCAGGACCAATTTCTATTATGCTTGACATGATGATCATCTTCACCCAGTAAACGGTCAAAGCAAAACATTAATTTGCGGAAATTTCCGTGATTCGATACCTTAGTAGACCTAAAGAGAGCCTGAAACACACCAGCAAAGAAGGTGGCAGTAAAGGCCAGTTTGAGATATAGAATTGGATCTTGAGTGTAGGAAACAGCCTCTTGAAGCATTGATCCCATAACCAAAGAAGCTAAGAGATGGACCAACACCAAGATGTTTAGAAACTCCCCGAATAGAGTAAATCAATGGAGGCACAAAGCTGAATCTGCATGTATAAACCATCCCAGTTCATAATTTACTGATAAACTAGTAACTACAGTTTCATAAGCACAATCAGTATTAAAACTAGTGTTATGAGATTGAACTAACAGAGTCCAACTATTGGAGGCAAATTTGCAAGCTTTGCATAGCTGATTCCCGCATTGAGAAACATAAAAGTTTTAGCTTCAAGCTGAATTTCATCATGTGATGCAAAATGTGAAAACTAAAAAGTCAGTAAACTGAAATTCATCACGAGGTTCAAACACAGGAACCAAGGTTAAACCCCAGATGCTTTAGTCATATATTAATTACAAGAAAACAATTTGATGAAGGAAATATAAGAAACCGCCACTCTAATGATCCAAGACAAACGGAATATACACAGTAACCCAACTCAGAGTCCTTGTCCCTTAAAAACAAATACCATTAACATCATAAAAAACACACAACGCATACATAACATCATGCATGTATGTATGTATGGCGCATGCATGTTATGTTATGTTACCTGAGGGATGGCGAGGTTGCAATGGTGAGACCAGAGATGACATCAGACCTCAGGAGATTGAGATTATACTGAGGCCCCCACTGGAAAATGGGGAAGAAGAACTGAAGCCCGAGAAGGAGTTTTTTACACCATTCCTGGTTCTTGAATCTGTGGAGAGGGTCATCAGGGAAGAAGATTTCTGATAAACGGTGCTTGAGTTTTGGCAAGTGGTCTTCTGGGGGGGCAGGCAAACATTGTGATTCTCCATTGTTTGCCTGTTGACAACTCTGAAGGTTCTGATAATGGTTTCATTAGTAATTATGCTGGGGCTGGATGAATCCTCAACATTGTTTGATTACACCCATTTTTCAGTGTAAAAAGATAGTGTGAATGAAGTATGGAGGAATGGTGATTCTTTGGGAATGAAGTGAAGCATGCTTGTGAATTTATAAGCCAACAAAGGGAGGGACATGTGGGTGGTGGGTAGTTACTGAGCAGTTGTTGTTATTGATTTACATGGGTAAAAATGTCACTCCTTTTGTTGAGTTGGGTGTCGTATTATTATTATTTTAATTTTGTTAACAAAAATTGATTTAAGTGTTTATGGTGGACCCTAGATAACACTTTTTGTAGCTTAATTATGACTAATTAATTTTTATAGGAATCTGGGTGGAGCCATTACCTTTTTTTTTTATAATGGAATTTAACGTTACATATAAATTACCTTAGAGTAAAGTATTGAACTAAGGTAAAATCTTGGATATGAATTAATATAGAATTATTACTTTATTATTATATCGTTCATCTTCATTTATTAAATATTTATTGCATACATATTATATATTTAATGTCATGTTAATTTGTATATAAAATTTATATACTTGTACTATGAGGTTAATAATAATTGTTATTGTTAATATGTGAAATTGTCTCTAAGGGATTTGTTTGACGGTCAAGGAGGTTTGCTCCATACATAGAGTTTATAGGTTCAAACTTCAAACCTTAGAGTCACTTATCACTTTGTGACTTACCTAGTCCTTTAGATTTGTGAGGTGTTTAATGAACCCTAGTGAAACAAATACCACATTAGAAGAGTATTGGGGAGGTTTTGGGCTTATAAAAGGGGGAGTCCCTCCACCTAGTAAGTTAGTCTTTTGGGTGTGAAACTCTCAACTCGTGACAAAGGATATTAGAGTAGACCCGGTTCATCTTTCAATGTCTTGCCAATCACCCATGCAGGGGCGTCCACGTGTGATTGTGGATCCACACGAGAGTGAGGTGGATGGGTAGACAAAGGGGCCTTCCTTGTAACGAGGGCATCACAAAATTAGGTAGGGAAGAATGTAACGAATCCCATATCAGAAGTGTATCAGGGAGGTTTTGGGCTTATAAGGGGGAAAGTCTCTCCACCTAATAGGTTAGCCTTTTGGGTGTGAAACTCCCAGCCGGTGACAAATGGTATCAAAGCGGACTCGATTCATCTTTCGATGTCTTGCCAAGTGCCTATGCAGGGGCATCCACATGTGATTGTGGGTCTACATGGACGGGCAGGTAGGGGGCCCCACTTGTAACGAGGGCATCACAAGATTGGGTGGGGAAGAATATAAAGAATCCCACATCAGAAACATATTGGGGAGGTTTTGGGCTTATATAGGGGAAAAGTTTCTCCACCTAATAGGTTAGCCTTTTGGGTGTGAAACTCCCAGCCCGTGATACTAGGGATTAGTTAAGGTGCGCACAAGCTGACNGAGATTAATTGAGATGCGTGAAAGCTAGCATACTGATTACCCAAAAAAATCATTTTCACATGGTCATGAAAAAAATGAAACAAGAAAGGTCAAACATAGTCTCGAACCCCAAATTCAGTTTAATTATCAACTGAACCTAGTTGAAAAATAAACCAAATCAATTTTTGATATTTGGAAATAGATATGTTAACATCGGTTGGTACTGTGTAATAAAAGATTTCGGTAATTTTTCAATACAAACAGTGATTACTGTAAGTAATATGGGGGATAATCCAATTACCGATTGGAAGGGTGTTATTTTTTTATTACCGGGGTAATCCACTATTTTTATCAATTTTGCCCTTAATTAATAATCATTTTGGACACAAATGCCCTCATATGTTCACCAAATAACAATTAGCCCAAATGCTGTCATTTCTGGCTATGGATCTGGTTAGAAACGGTTAGATCAACACACAACCGGCTAGATTCGGTCAGTTGTGCATTGTTCCGGTGATTGTTGATGGCAGCCAGCAGTGGTGGCCGACAATCATCTTGGGTGACTGGGGTTATTTTATTAAATTTTATACTTTTGTTATAGCTATGGTATTTTCGCTAAATTCTTAAATATAAGGGGTTAAAAGTACCACTCTAAATAATAATAATATTAAAAAAGAAGAATAATTCAATAAAAACCTCTCCGATAATATTTATTTCTTCTAATCAAACATATTAATATAATATTCTTAATAATATAATATTTTTTGAATCACACGTTACTAGATATAATCCTCCCTCATAGGAGATATTGTCCGTAATTGTCAATTTTTTAACCAACAAGATCTATTATAATTAAATAAAGTGTAAGGGGCTTTAATGTAATTTTATATTTAACGAACTTGACAAACATGGGAATTGTTGAGACTTGTCACTTCAGATACAAAATGGGTGAACAAAATTTTCAGGTATTCTAAAATCTAAATCCAATACCATTTTCTTTTACTAATTAATTACCTGTACGTATGTTTTTGGTCATGTTGCATAGCCTTTCTTCTCGCTCCTCAATCCAATCTTTCTTTCGACAAAGCCTCCTCATGCCCAGTATCTCTTGCTCAATTTAACACAAATCTGATACAATATTTTTGTTCTAATTTTCCTTTTCTTTTTGACAGTCTGTGTTTTTGTTGCCCTTCAGATTTGGTTGATTGTTTTCCTCCAAATTTCTTGATTTCCCAGATCCAGTTCCCTTAAACAAACTTGGTTTCAGCTTAAATGCTTTAATTAGCATTGAAGTTTGATTCTTTTTGAAGTTAGGGTTTGAAGCGAAATAGAAAATAGTTCAAAAATTGGATTTTTTTTTTTTTTTTGTTTAGATTTGACAATTTGGTTCTGGTTATTTGGTTGGTGGCATATTTCTAGGTTTTGGTGATATGGGTATTGAAGATTTTAGTTTGAAGAATATTTTGGTCGCATTCTTGTAACTTCTGGTGATCTGGGTATTGAAGATTTTAGTTGAATTTTGGTTTAAAGAATTGAGTTGCGGCAGTTTTGTAGTTTTGACTGATCTGGTATTTTAAAAGTGGTGGTTGAAGAAATGTTCTATGGTGCAGTTGTATGGGATCCCTGGCTAATCGTTGCCCAAATTGTTTGTCTTCAATGCCTATACTATACCAGTCTTGGTGTATTTTTATCCATTTTCGTTGGCACTCGGGCATCGCGGATGAGTCTTGTGTATTTCTTTGACTTTGCTACCATCACTGCCTCTACGGTCACCGGTTGGTGTGTCATTGCTTCGATTCTGCTGGCCTCGGTTGCTGGGTGAGAATATAAATCCTTTTGCTTTAATTTATCTTTGTAAATGATTTATGTTAGGTGACTATAATGTGAAATTGTATGGTTCCATTGTCAGGGATAATTAATGAATTTATGATGTTCTGATTTTACGTGGTGTTCATTAATTTGTTAATTGCTTAAGTTGCTGTGTGGTATAATGCAAAACGGATAGTTAAATGAGTTTGTTTAACTGTACGATGAGTATTTTGGATTGAATAGATGGATTAGTTAAATTTATTTAATGTCATCTTGACAATTTCCTTGTCAATGCATTTTTCATTGTGTATGTATCTGCTATTTGAGAGACCAATTGCTCATTCTACCTCAGTATCCGGTGTGGATTATTTTATGCCAGAAGACATGGCTAATTGTTTAGATTTAACTATCAATTTTTATTTTATTACTTGTTCCATATTTCACTTATTGCATTTATGTTCATGGAAATTAAAAAAAAGACCCTGAATCATGTTAGTTTTACAGATTCATATTTGAAATTTCCAATCTCCATGGTTGCTTGTTTAACTAACATGCGAGTTACTCTTGTTTGTGCAGGGCTGGATATATGCTTTATATAGTTGAGAGGGCAAAGAAGTGCTTAGATTTTTCAGCAACTCTGTACATCATCCATCTTTTTATATGCATCACATATGGGGGTTGGCCCTCCTCAATCACGTGGTGGGTTGTTAATGGCACTGGACTTGCAGTGATGGCTTTGCTAGGTGAATATCTATGCATTAGACGTGAACTGCGAGAGATTCCTATAACACGCTACAGAGCAAGTAAGAAATTTTTTCATTATAAGTTAAATTGATTACTTCAAGCAATCTTGTGTGGAAATTTTATTCTTTATTATATTTTTTTTCCATGTGTATTTTCATATCTTTTTTTTTATTTTTTTATTTTTTTAATTTCCAAATTTATTAATAGAGGCTTTTGACTCATTTTTGTTGCAATGAATGTTGTTTGGGTGTGAGTCTTATAACTTCATATGTTCTGTGCCATGCTGCCTGCTCTCATCTCTATGCTCTGCTGGATACTGGCATTTGCTCTCCAACTTTTGAATTATTTTCTTTGAAGTTAATGCTAAAATGGAATGTCTGAACCCTCCAATTTGTTTGCGCCTGAACTTTATTCAAGCAAATAATTTAGATTGATTCCTGAAATAGTAAAATAGATAAATGGAAAACAGTTCTGTGTTTCAGTTAATAAAGAGAAGAAATGCTAGTGCTAATCTTTTTCAAGTTTATGTTAGATTGGTGATCTTTTCTTTCACTCTTGTTTTTGGTTCATAACATTGTGGAAGATCTTGTGCGTGCTAAACAGTTTTGAGGCTTTTAATTGCTTTAATTTTTTGAATTAAATTTCAAAAAGCAACAGCAGTTGCCTGTCCTTTCTTTTTCTCTTATAATTTCATAATTGCTTTTGTATCAGCTGAACTAATTTGTCCACTTCATGCAGATGTTTAAATCACAAGGACAACTCAATAGGCAGAACAATTTTCTTCTGGGATTGCAGCATCAGTTTCTTCACTGCTTTTGAAGGAGCAAAGCTCATTAGATACCAATCTAATCTGTGACAAAAAAAAAAATTGTTTTAAACCTGTGATTATATTTCTATGCATGTGGGGATGAGGGAGAGCAATAGAAGAAGTTTGAGTTGGTGCTCATTTGATGGATTGATAGACCACGTCAGACTTGGTATGTATTGTGTTAGGAAACTGGTAATGTACAATTATAGGTGATTTTGAGAAAGATGATGTGTTTCTCATACTGTTTTCTTGTTTACAGTAATTTGTGTAGTTGATTAGTTTTTTTCTTATTTTTTTGATAATATCAATGTTGAGTTTCCCATTATGTGAATGAATGGGGCACTTTTGCTATTTTTCTAAGGAGAATATATAGGGTTCCTAAACTAAAATTTGATTAAGGTTTTTCCTCCAATTGTGTCGACTTTAGCAACATTTTGCGTTTGGTCTACGCTCTACTAAGTTGGTTGACGTCCTGCAACTTTATAGTTAATTTCCTTTTGGTTCCTGAAGGCTAGTCATACTCCTTGTTGATCTCAGCGGTGTCTCTCTCAAAAGCACACATGCACTTGCTGGTCATTTATTTAAGGGCCTGGGGCGGTCAAGGGAAAACCGCTTCCCTACTTGCACAAAAGAGTTTTATACCAAATTTGTCACACACTCAATGCTGGACTGTGTGGGTTAGTCAGCAAAATGGAGTGAGGTACAGGGTCCCGTCATGTTTTTCTGTTATGGAGCTATTAACTCTTTTAAACGAATCACATTCATATAGCATGGAACATATATTCCAAGGCATCATGCTTTGTTAGTGGCATGGAGAACAAGATGAATGTTAGATCTGATCTCAGAGGGCTTTAATTTAGTGATATTGGCTTCTTGCTTTTCTTAATTTTTGGGCAATTTCTGGCTTTTCTTTCAAATTGTATTGATGATCACAGTTTTAGGATAAAACTTGTGTGGCTCCTTTATAATATACAAGAAATATACATTTGTAGTTGAATATGTACTACACATTTTAGATTATTTTCTGCTATCCCCGTCATCTTTACACCATTATTACTCCATGTATCAGCCCACCTCATTGAAGCCTTGTATTGAATTTCTTGGTTTGGCTGCAAGACTGCCAAGTTCTTTCTTTTTTCTTGTTTTTCGTGGTTGTGTCTGCCAAGTTAATCGGAGGCCATATCCTCTGAATTATAAACTTATCTTCCTTCTATCTCCCTTATCTTTTAGCCCTGTTGCTTGTTTTCAGGCTGCCTTTGACTTCAATTTTAGCCATTGCTTGCTGATTCATTTATTGCCACATGTAGTGGCACCCATGCTAACATATGTAAAGGACTTTAAGTCATCATCAAAAGATGCCATATCTCAGATTATTTTATCTGCCCATTATCTCATTTCAGCTGTGCCCTTCTCTAGAGTAAGTGGTTTTTTTTTTCAGCAATTGCCTGTTGCCACATTTACATCAAATCACATCAAATCATTAGCCTTAAGCACTGAATGTTTCCTTCACTTGTGTTCATATTTATTTTTATAAAATATACCAATTTTATTTTGAAATATATCTTCTACGACGAACATTAAACCAAGAAGGATTTTGTGGTTGCCTCAACATAGTTCAGGTTTTAATATTGTGCAGCATTTAGCTTTAAGATTGCTGTAGTATTCTGATTTCATTGGAGAAAAGAGAGAATTAAAACATTTTGATTTTAACATGAAATTAAAATAAAATGAAAATTCATTACTTTGTTTCGGTTACACTAAGCTCCCGTCATGGCATGGCCAGACTTTGCATTAAGTTAAGATGAGATTTGTGAACCTTCAAAATCTCTTCTTAGAAGAGCATGGCCAATGGCCATTAACTTTTTAAGTTAAACAATGTATCTCACAAAGAAAAAAAGAAAACAAAGTTCCCCGCTCTTTAGAATTCTTCCTAGACTGCCAAGGTTTTAAAGTTGTCAGTTACTCTCTTTCATTTCTTTTATATTATTCGTAACTTTCAACCGCAGCCTTGTAGAATTCATTCATGCATGAGCCTTCCACAAAGATGAAATGTCTGACACAGCTTCTGCAACTGTGAGATAGAGGCCGTTCAGTCGGAAGGACTCCAAAACTTTTGACTGATGCAGCTTTTCCATCACACTTCCAACAGGATTTACCAACACAAGCTGCAAAGAAAGAGCACCAAGATTAGCTAAAATGCTTCAAGAATGTGGCATTCCAAGAGTTAATTTTTTTTAGCAGTTCTTACTTGAAGCGATCGTTTCTCCAGCATCTTTCTTAGTTCGCGCACCATGTCAATACCGCTTGTGTCTATGGCTGTCACAGCTGCAAAAGAAAGAGAAAATCTGTAAGCTAATTGCACAGGAGACTTTCCAAGTGGAAATGATGGGAAATTTGCGAAGAGCAATTAAACAACTTACCAGTCATGTCCAGAATTATGCATTTTAGTGTTCTCCCATTGTTTGCCTTTATCCACTCTTCCTCCTCGTGAACCCATCTCAATATTCTATCTTGAAGATAAGTGGAATTGGCAAAGTAAATGGGAGATTCAACAGCAAGAATGAGAAACGAAGATACTCTTAGAGCATTTCTGTATCGGCTGAGGCTATGGTATATTTGAGTTCCTGCAATGTTGCCTAGGACCACTGTGTTTGGCCTGGTGACATGCAAGAGAATCTTGAACACTGAAATTGCGACCTGAATTTTTCGGCAAAGGCATCAGATAATGACCCAAGAGTGCAGTACAACAACGAGAAAAAGGAAAAATTTAAGAATGGAAGCTTACTGCGATGGCGAGACCAAGGGGCACAGAAATGAAAAGAACCCCAAAGAAGGAACACAAGCAAGCTATGAAATCAAGCTTGTCAACTTTCCATAATTTGTATGCGGACTGATAATCAATAAGCCCTATCACTGCTGTTATAATGATGGCTCCCAGGATGACATTAGGAGTGTAGTAAAACAATGGCATGAGAAACAGCAGAGTCACAAGCACAGCCGAAGCCATTACTATATTAGAAACTGCTGTTTGTGCTCCGGCATTGTAGTTAACAGCAGATCGAGAAAATGAACCTGGAAGAGTGGCCGGAACACAACATGTTTAGAAATTATGAAAACCGTATCGACATGAAAATCAGATGGTGAAATGAACAGTGGATCGTCACCTGTGGTAACATAGCATGAAGTGCATGAACCAGCCATGTTCATGAAACCAATAGCCATCATTTCTTTGTTGCCATCAACTTGGTAATTCTTTAATGAAGCAAATGTCCTTCCCACAGCAATTCCTTCCTGAACAAAATAAAAGATTTAAATTTTAGAAAGAGTGAAATTTTATACAGATATAGGCAAGTTCTTGAAATACTCATATGGAAAGTAAATCTTGACTAAGCCATGAAAGAGTGAAATTTATACATGAAATAAGGCAAGTTCTTGAAAATACTCATATGGAAAGTAAATCTTGACTAAGCCATCAAGATTTCAGTGCTAGTTTTGGCAACCTACAGTGAGAGAAAGGATCCCAGTAACAAGGCCAGTTTTGACAGCTACAGCCAGGAAAGCGCCTAAAGTATAACATGTTTGAGGAAGGTGGATTCAAACCCTTGGCAAGTGGCCGATCTGGAGAAGAATTTTTTGCATTAGTGGTTGCACCAGAGACTTGTTTCAGGATCCTTTGTAATCTCTGTAAAGGAAGTGTAAACAAGTTTTCAGGACTTACAATTGAGATTCCATGAGCCTTTGATTTGATGCCAAGACTAAAAGAGTTGAAAGAATAACTGATGTTAATGGGGCAGCTGCCGATAGCCAGGAAAAGCTTTGGTTTCGTCATGCTCTGTGCCGAATCGTTAAAGATGAGACATCAATAAACGTTAGGAGAATAATATGAGAATCTGGGTAATTAACTTTGCAGGTAAAAAGACACTTACAATATGCCTTGTTGTCAATAGAAAAACCAGGAAGCTGAACCCAATACAACAGTTTGCCAGGACCACTGCACATACAACTTTTACTCATTTAGCTTTGTATTTCAGCCGTTGAATAACACTTCGACAGTTGAGTTTCAGAATTCATTTAAAAATGAAACATGGCGTAGAAAAATCAACAACAGTATTCCAAAATGATACCAAAAGGTAGCATATTGCTTGCTTTCAGTAAAGCCACTAACCTCATCTCTGTGGCTGAAAACAGAGGACATTACAGGAATAAATTGCATTTGGTAGTAAAATGAACAATTCCAAGCAATCCTTTGAGGTGTTGCAATGATACAATGACTGCCGCTCCAGCCATGAAGCCGATAAGTGTTGCCTTCGAAAGAAAATCGATTATAAAGCCTAGCTGCAAACCATTAACTGAAATCAACTTTTAAGGCTTTTCGGTCTTTCTTCAGGACCAATTTCTATTATGCTTGACATGATGATCATCTTCACCCAGTAAACGGTCAAAGCAAAACATTAATTTGCGGAAATTTCCGTGATTCGATACCTTAGTAGACCTAAAGAGAGCCTGAAACACACCAGCAAAGAAGGTGGCAGTAAAGGCCAGTTTGAGATATAGAATTGGATCTTGAGTGTAGGAAACAGCCTCTTGAAGCATTGATCCCATAACCAAAGAAGCTAAGAGATGGACCAACACCAAGATGTTTAGAAACTCCCCGAATAGAGTAAATCAATGGAGGCACAAAGCTGAATCTGCATGTATAAACCATCCCAGTTCATAAATTTACTGATAAACTAGTAACTACAGTTGTCATAAGCACAATCAGTATTAAAACTAGTGTTATGAGATTGAACTAACAGAGTCCAACTATTGGAGGCAAATTTGCAAGCTTTGCATAGCTGATTCCCGCATTGAGAAACATAAAAGTTTTAGCTTCAAGCTGAATTTCATCATGTGATGCAAAATGTGAAAACTAAAAAGTCAGTAAACTGAAATTCATCACGAGGTTCAAACACAGGAACCAAGGTTAAACCCCAGATGCTTTAGTCATATATTAATTACAAGAAAACAATTTGATGAAGGAAATATAAGAAACCGCCACTCTAATGATCCAAGACAAACGGAATATACACAGTAACCCAACTCAGAGTCCTTGTCCCTTAAAAACAAATACCATTAACATCATAAAAAACACACAACGCATACATAACATCATGCATGTATGTATGTATGGCGCATGCATGTTATGTTATGTTACCTGAGGGATGGCGAGGTTGCAATGGTGAGACCAGAGATGACATCAGACCTCAGGAGATTGAGATTATACTGAGGCCCCCACTGGAAAATGGGGAAGAAGAACTGAAGCCCGAGAAGGAGTTTTTTACACCATTCCTGGTTCTTGAATCTGTGGAGAGGGTCATCAGGGAAGAAGAT